GTGGGTGTGGGTGTGGGTGTGGGTGTGGGTGTGGGTGTGGGTGTGGGTGTGGGTGTGGGTGTGGGTGTGGGTGTGGGTGTGGGTGTGGGTGTTGATTTTCTTTTGATTCACCCCACTCACCCATACCCACCCACCCACACCCACAATCACACACCCACCCACACCCTCAAGTCAGAATAAACGGTTTGAAGTCGATTGAAAAGTATTTCAACAGTTGGATAGATTTTTTCAGTTAATAAAACATAAAATTGATGTCGGACGGCGTTATCCACTTCTTCTGAAAAAGTTTTTGAAAGATTTCTGCCTCTTTTTTTAGGAGATTTAGCTGCAGGAACGACGATTTTTGCTTGAGATGAGCCACTGTAAGAATAATTACGCTTTCGATGCGATCTTGATGTAGAATAAGTCAAGGATGTTGATCGTAAATCACGTTCTTCTGCATGAAGTTGTTCTTCCATTTCTTTTTTCAAACGAAAGAGAGATGGACGCGAAATGTCCAACATTGCAAGTAAACGATCTGTTCTATTATTGAGAGGAATTGTCAGTGCTGACTTTTCACCTTCGAACAATTTGATGATACGAATGTAAACTTCTTTGAGCTCTGCCGAAAAATGACTACCAGTTGGCATAATCAAGAAAATACGTTGTAAAACAAACTATAGTGAAAGTTAAATATTAAACATTAAACGTTTAACGGTCAATCATGTGGATTCTTTTTCTTCTGTTTACTATTCGTTTCAGTCATATATTATTCAAAACATCGTCCGTCATTTACAAGTACAATTTTGATTCCATTGAGTCATTATAAAAGTATAACTGATAAGAAATAATAAAAAAATATGAATCAGCTTTAATGATCGTTCAGAAAAGTTTAATCTATAAATATGATATAATAATGTTGTCGATATGCTTGAATACGATATATCTCGCACTTTAGATTATTTTTCAATTCATATTGACTCTTGTCATTCGCTTTAGAAGGTTTGATAACCTGTATGTATATATTATTCAAGAGTAATTTCACATTATTAGAATATTTCAATGAAGGACTGCATAACTTCTTCATGCTGGTCTTCAAGCTTTCGACTATCAAATAATTGATATATGGATATTGTGTGCTATTGATAGGTGGTCACCCATCATTATAATCCATATAAAAGAAGAATAAAATAATGCTATGGACTGTGAGTTCAAGCTATTTTTTCAAAGGTTCACATTTTTCTAACCTTCATCATTGCTGAATCTCATCGTATCATATATAGACTAGTGTCCCCCACTGTGCTCTTTCTATGGTGAAAACGACACATCGCTAAGCCATACCGTTCTTGAGTTATTCAATTTTTAACCAAGTATCTTTAACTCCCAAATAGACATTAGTTTTTTTTTCAAATAAATATCACTACGAGATGTTGTCTCAAAACAAAAGACTAGACAAACACTCTAAAAAATCAAGACATATTAAGCGTCTGAATAAGACGCTTCATTCGTTTAGACAAGACACTTCGAGCAAATTCTCATTGGCTCATATATTTCTAATTTAGACGCTTCAAGCGTCAACGGATAACCGATTTTAGACACTGGTGCGTCTTATTCACAATAGATTGGATGG